TAATAGTAATAATGAGAATGGTAACAGAATATACAGAATATAAAAAACAAATGATGCACAATGCACTTGCTCACCACCCACCGACTGATGCCCAGCCTGTCCCGAGCTGTGATCAGTCCCCGAGCAGCGATTGCTCTCCCCACAACCGACCGACCAACTAATCCCCCCCCCGAGCATGACGTTATAAGGTATAGAATAGTTCTTTGGTCAGTTTGGGTTAGCTGTCCTAGCTGTGCTCCCTCCCAGCTTGTTATGCACCTGGCCAAGCAGGAGAAGCTCAAAAAGTCCTTGAGTAGTCTGAGCATTACTTGGCAACAACTAAAAACATCAGTGTGTTATCAACATTCTTCTAGTACTAAACCCAAAACACAGCACTATGCTAGCTACTATGAAGAAAATTAACTCTATCCCAGCTGAACCCAGGACAAGTATTTCTGGCCAATCTGAAACATGATTTCTCAAGATCTTGCAAAGTGCCTGTAGTGTAGCCAGATGCAATATTAATGGTACTTTACTGAAAAAGTACCAGAGCCCTGCAACTCTCGTATAATAAATGAATTGTAGATACCACACTCAGCATAAATGATTAGCAGGATTTGTACTGCATTCTCCTTGTAAAGAATGAGTCAGTTCTTCCACACCCTGAGCATGCTGAAATTCTCAGAGAAAATGCAGCTGAGTGCATTTAATTATTGTAATTCCATCTAGGTATGTTTTGTTGATGACAATGTCACCATAAATAATGAAATTATGAAGTTTCATACCTTTATGTCAGTGCATCCAAGCTTTGTAAAGGAAGGTTATAGCTGAATATTGCAGTTTTAGAAGATAAGCGTAAGTTAAGAAAATTATTTTCATGAACATAATTTTCTTTTTTTTTTTGTAGAGCAAAACTTTGCTGAGAAGTACCTCACTTTTAGTTTCCAGCAATCAGAAAGTGAAATTCTTTGACATGTTTACAAGCAGGGGAAGCTGAATTTCAGGAAATCACATGATTTCCTGTCACACCCCATATATAGGCATTTAGATGATGAAAGCAATAAAAAAACTTGCTGTTAGGAGTCTCCTGAAGCTAACGTGTATTATCTCTGTGGAGCCATGCTACCATATGTAAGGCATAAGACTCCTTCCCTATTTGTTCCAAGAATTTATATCAGTAGATATTTCGGAGAAGTCACAGTTCCAAACTGAATGTGCAGTGACTGATATAGAGGGGACTTTTCTTTGGAAGCTCACAGTGACCGTATCCAGCAGAAAGAAAAGTACAACCCCTTGTGTACCTGGCTGTTAATAGCTCAGTAAATAAGAAAATCTTAGGTAAGTAACAGTAAAAAAGAAGGAAGAACTTTATCAGTAGGATCTAGGAAAGGAAGGGTCTACTGTTAGCTAATAACTCTTGGATGTGTGTTTTCTACCAACTTTTAACCTCCTGTTATTCCCAAATGACTACAAGCCTTGCTTCTTCCATCTCTCATAGAAGATAGTATAATTAAGAAGAGATGTATGAAATAATGTGATATATGTTTATGTTGTTGTTATGATAAATAATGCAAAAATATGCTGATGCTCTTCTTGTTAATCTTGCCTGCATGAGCTGAGGTCCTTGTTCAGCTCCAATTAAACAGATTAATTCTCCAGGTCTGAGATGTTCATGGTGCCTTCATCTGACTCTTCCTAGGCAGCTCTGAGTGAGACCCTGCGTCCTGAGGTGTGTGTGTTCTTTCTCTCTGGATACCTATGAATGCAGTGTGGAGAAGGTGTTTGTGGAGTTCAGTGTGATTTATCCCTTTCCTGACTCCCTAGGCTATGGTTAAAGGGAAGTTTGGAAACTGCAAACAGAATCATTTCATTAGATATGGTCCAAAAGTGCCGTGTGTTTTCCCCTCAAGAGAATGGAGCTGAGCTAAGTCACAATAAAAGCAATTGTGGGATTTTTGGAAGGGAGTAGATGGCATAGGGAGAAAGCAATGTGTGTTGCAAGTGGGTAGGGTAGATCCAGCCCATGGGTGCCATATGTTTTGAAATCCTTGTGGTCTGGATAGTGACCAGCCATTTTTTTTTTAGCCTGAGGCTTCCAGCTCCACCCCACTGAGCAAGGAGTTCCTGCTGCTATAGACCCCCAGAAGTGCCTCAGCACCCTGGAGCCCTTCTATTGCTTGTCGACATAAATACAAATAGGGCACCTTTGCAACAGGATGTTTGCAAAGAGAGCTGGAGGTTGCTGCTGCCTATACCCTGCTTTTCTGCAGGTTGCTGCTTTGATATATTTCTGCATCATCAAACTTCAGCAAAATCCATGTTAGAAGTGTGGGTTTGCTCCAGACAAACCTCGGGATGATGTACTCTGGGGAGGAGGGAGCCTGGCCTGTGTAGAAGTCTCAATGTTGGCTGCAGGATGCAGAACAAGATCTAAAATATAGGGGTCTGGAAGGCATAAACTTTGTGTGATGGGGCCTTTCTGTTCTTGTAATTAAGATTTTAGTACAGTTGAGCTCCTTCTTTCATAATACACCCCTGCGATGGCTACCAAGACCACTCCTTCAGAGAAGGTCTGCAGCCAGTTAGCTGGATAATAAGGGGCAGAGAGAGGGAGGGGAGAGATTACTCACAGCTAATACAAAACATGTGCCAGTGAGACAGTGACTATTCAGTGTGTCCATCCTTTAAAATGTGATAAGCACATCTCCTTGGAGCACAGGGATGACCGTAGGCACCAGGAAACTGCCAGCAGGTGTGAGCCTGTGTCCTGGCTGTGATGCAGCCAAGGCAAGGTGGAGTGGACCAACCCATGGCCCAGATAATCCATCCATGGATAATCAAACGCTATGTCCAAGATGTGATTTGACTGTTTTCTTTGTTAAAGTATCCATTGCCAATCTGACATCATCAAAAGTCCTGCTGCTTACATGGATGTTTGTCCTCATTTGAATTAGTAACCAGACCTGGAGGTGATCTTAAGATCAGCTGAGGTGTATAATGTAATATATAATGCAGTTTTTATATAAAATACAAGGATAACATTGACAAGGAAGTGGAAAGAGTACAAATTTCTGTACAGTGCATGACAACGCAGCTCATAGTCATCTTTTGAAGATTACTTGACTTCAGTGGAAAAGGCTTATCTCCCTATAATAGGAGACATTCCTCTGCTGTGACATAATCTCACTTTTTATCTTCTGTCTCCTTTATTCTTTCTGGAACGAATATATAGAGAAAGATAAAATACCCTCTGGTGACCCCTATATCTCAAGAGTCCTTAATGCCGTGTGTCTTTCATGACAGGTAACTTCCTAACAAGTGTTGCTGGAGGAGTTTCAGGGTTCTCATTAAAATGGTTTGGCTTTAGGACTTTATTCTGCAAGATGAAATCCTGCACTGTAGAGAGGATGCAGACCCTTCAAGAGGCACTCAGCAGTACTTTCCAGATCAGTCCCTTTCTGCCTGATCCAGCACTGTTGACTGATTTCAAACCTAATCAGGCCTGAGGACTGTGGTCCGTCCTTTCCTTCATCCCTTTGGGCAAAGATGCTTACATAAGGTGTGCAGAGACCGTGCCATGGGGGGGCTTCGTACCACACGTGGTGGGAGCTTTGCCTTGAAGTGCTGACAGTCTAAGTTTAGATCTGGCGCAATGAGTGAAAGTAATAAACAAAAGTTGGGAATAGGCATGGAAGAGGTCAGAGCAGGGAGATCAAGGGTTGTGCTGATTTGGTAGGTGAATATCCTGATGGCTGTGCTGATTAAATAGTGAGTCACCAGCTGGAGGCTGGGAGGAAGAAGCAGGGCGTTAGAAGGATGTGGCTGTGGGGAGACCTGGTGAGCAGAGATTAGGAGGACAGTTCGTGCCCAGAGGACTAGAATAGCTTGTCCACTAGTTTCATTGTTTCAGGCATCTAAAGCACACTGGGTTAATCACCAACAAAGATGCCCAAGGGAACAATGTTGTATCGGTTATCTTCCTGAGCATTTGACTGTTTTGGTTTTATTTATTCTAGACAAAAGAGCTTATTTGTGATGTTTCATCTTTAGCCTGAATGTCTCTAATTTGGACAACCATTTAATTTGGAAGGTTTCCATGAGACGCCAGTGAGACTGTCTGATTAAAGTCATGACTTATAACCAAACGTCTTTCTCGCTCCATGTTGCTGACCGCAGTATTGGTTATGAATTGTGAAAGAATGTTAAAATCCAGTGTATTTTTCTCTTTGTGGGCTCTGTTTATTTTTATTTTCAACATTTTGATTGGACAATGAAAAATGTCAGTGATGCCAGTTGTAAGTCTTTAGGTACAAGTTTGCCTTTCAGCCATTGCGTAGGAGTGATCATTTGCTTTTAAAAACTGACATCTGTGGATTTTTAGTTCCTTTTTCTTTAATAATCTCTGGGAAAATATGGTATTTTATAAAAGCCTGTTGTATGGAAGGTAAAACTAAGGCCAAGTTTGGGATGACAACATCTTTTTCATGTCTCACTAACTTTTTCAAAGAGCAGTAGCAACAAGCTGAGCGGAGGTTGGAAGCAGCAGCATTGTTCCTTCTGTTTCCCTTGAATTCCTTTCATCGGTCCAGTGACTACACGTGTCCCGATGACACGTTTCTGGGTCACATGTCCCAGGAAGATGGGCTATATGGAGATACAGGGCATGGAAAGTATTCTAGCTAGAGACTAGTTATGTTGACAGGCTTCACATGTGGTGTAAATTTGTATATTCCTCACATGGACTTTATTAATAGCACATGACTGAGACAGGGAGAGCCAGTTACATGGCTCTTTATGTAAATAAAACAACAGAAATGTATTCTTTCTTGTTCCTTATCATATTAAGCCTGCAAATAGATTAAGGCATCTTAGGCTAGCACATGAGATCATTAGGAAATGCAGAGCAGCACGAGTTGGAGCACAGAGATTTCCCCAAGCCAGGCTGCGTGGCTGTAGGAGAGGAGTGAAGGCACAAGGGCACAGCATGCAGTGTCCAGAACTGGAGAAAGAATAGAAGGCCCAGATAAGTATTTAAAAAGTCAGCCTCAAGCGTAACCAAACTGAATGCTTGTTTTGTTTTTGGTCCAGTGGAAACTTCACAATGGAAGAGTTAGATAGTTTTCTTCCTTGGCTCTGCCATTGAAGGGACGTTGCTGCCTTTTCCAGTCAACTTTCTCCCATTCAATGGGATCTAGGTTTCATTTCAGTGGGATCTCTCCACAGGGTACTGCTCTGGTGTCATAGGGTCAGAGGGAGAAAATGCTGTAACTGTAGGTTGTCTTTATTGTGATTTTTCTCAGGTTCATCAGTGACTTCCACTGTAATTCTTTCAGCTAGTAGTAGTAGCAAGCTGTTGCCCTGGTGTAGGGATTAAGTATAGCTGGAGGCACAAACTAGAGTGTTAGGAGATTGCATATCCAGTCCTCTGTGTTCCCGCTAACAGGAAAAACTGGGGAATGTGTCTAGAGAGACTTGATCCAAGTATTTGTGTCCTCTTCCAGACACTGAAGAAAAACATCTGAATGGAAAGGACTTATATTAGTTGTGAGCCTCCTGTATTAATCACAGCCAGTTAATTGGAGGTATCAAAAGAACAATAGATGAGGTGCTTAGGGACATGGTTTAGTGGTGGGATGGCAGGATTAGGTCAAAGGTTGGACTCTATGATCTTAAAGGTCTTTTCCAACCAAAGTGATTCTATGATTCTAATTTAATCCTTAGCAACCTGGAGAAGTACAGAAAGGCTATCCCAGTTTGACACATGTGATGAGTATGAACCCCGAATTCCCAAATATGCAGAGCTTCGCTGTGCCCTGAGCTCATCTTTATAGCTATGAAAAGCGGGACTCCAACAGGTTCGCTTCAGTGATGTGGTGAATCTGGATGAAGACACAGATGCCAGGTACCTGGTGATAAGGCAAATTAAAAATGAGCTATTTACAGTGCAAGAGGCTTGAATTTTGTCTACTAGTGAAATTATTACCCAAATTGGGTAATAATTCACACATTTTCATTTTAGGAACAACTAGAAATTCTTCTGGAGGGCTTCAAATCATCCTAGAAAGAAGAGGTGTCTCCCATTCAACGCCTTTTATTTGAATGGGACATCCAGATAATCTGTTTCTGAATGTAGGCAAGGAAAGGAACACTCTCAGTCTAGTAGAGCGGACAACCAGGAATCTGAATCAGGATTTCTCTCCCCAGCTCTGTACGTACCACGTATTATGACCTTGATAAGTCACTTTCTTTTTTAGGTTCATGTTTTTAAAATGGATAAACCAACATATGTTTCCTGTGAGTTTCCTGTGTAAGTTAGTTTTTTTAAGATGTGAAAGATAGTATATTAAGTGGGCTGCATTTTTACAGGTTCACTCTCAGAAAGAAATATTTATCATATGTGACATTCAAAACATTCCTCTGTGCCCTTAAGTTCAAATGATGGAAATAAATTAGAAAAATGGTATTTAAGTGCTAAGCAGGGTATGGCGATAGGACTATTGCATTTACATTTGCACTGTGAGCAAAGAATTAATCATAAATGCACCAGGCCAGCATGGTTTCCCACTGTATTTGAGTATGATTTACCTTCTATGTAATCAAAATGAAGATGCATTTGTGGCTAAAAGTATATACTAAGTCTTCCAAGTTGACATGTTTTAGCTGTAAGGGATAAATCAATTTTAAATTCTACTGATTTCTTTTCCTCTATGCCTCAATTAAGCAAGTTAAATTCCTGAAGTTTTTCTGCTGCTACTTGTAACAGGTCAGAAATGTCAGGGTATCCTTGAAGAGGAGCACTCTCCTCCAAGACACTTTGCATAGCTTAATTAGTGCAGTTATTTCTTTCCCTGTGCCTTCTCTAAGGGCTTTCTTTATGTCAGATGCTTCTAAGTATTGAGAATCAGAGCCAGAGGTCAACCAAGGAGCTGCTGATCACTCAAGCTAAACGTCCTTTAATGCAACAGTTCATATGAGTGGTTTGCAAAGCCCCTCCGGGGGACCGTGTGTGCAGGGGTGCTCCTGGGCGCATGCATCTATGGGCTCCGCTCAGTGCAGCGCAAGGCACACGTGCGTTAAAGGACCTGATGAGGCTGAAGGTCTCTCTCATCGGGTGACTACAGGCATCACTGCGCTTTCTTTTATTCTACTGTAGCAAGCAAAGAAGCTTTAAAACTGTCAAAAATGCGCTGTGTGGGGTGTTTTTCTCAACAGGCAGTGAGGGACCTTCCTAATATCTTTAAGTAGCTTTGTTGTCCTGAATCCCTGGCCTCAGCTGTATAATTGCTACAGGTAGGCAGTGTGGCAAATGTTCATGATTTTAGGGCCTGGAGCCAGTTTGTGTCTCAGAGTCACTGATTGAATGTTTTTTCTGTCCAAGGTAGCTGCCTAAGCAGAACTAGTTCTGATTCTGGCTAGTGATATGTCATTAATATACAAGTCCTCTAAAATGTTTAACTATGAAAAGTGAGACTTTGACCCCGAGATATCAGAAATCATTCAAACTAGACTAAACACAAACAGTTTACATAGTCCAGTATAGGATGAGGTCTCTTACCAAACCTTTACTGTAGATAACCATTATGTGAATGTCAGCCACTGGAGTGCATTTCATACTGGGATTTTCCACTTGGCCTTTATTCAATACCAATCTGATAATGGGATGAAAAGTGGACTTGAGGAATGCAGTTCAAAGGACTTGCGGAGTTGAACCTGTGCACCAAGCCTGGCTACGTAAGTCATAGTAATGACTTGTGAAGGTACCATAAAATGGAGACAGCCTGCACAGGGCTGTGAAACAGAAGATACCTAACTCATGTGTGGGACAGTGGAGGAGGAGGAGCCAGGCAAGGAGCACCAGGAGTGGAAAGCAGCCAAAAGGATGCTGTAGGAAACAACAGTCCCAGCAATACTGCTGTGAGGACAGCTTTCCTCCTCGGTCTCCCTGTGGTGGCCTTGCTAAGTTACAATTTTTAATGTGGTTATCTCTGCCCCTGAAAAGACCGTGGATGTGTTTTTTAAAGACCTGATGACAAAATTACCCTCAAATTCTGAAACACAAAAGGAGTAAGGAGTCACTCAAGTAAGAAATCTGTCCAGATTGCTGACTCTTATTATTATGAGAAAGGATGGGAAGCTATAGACAGTATGAGTGCTGATGCACTGTAACGTACACGGAAATGGGTCCAGCTTTATTGCCATATTTAATACAGTCACTGAAATATAGAAATTCTGTGAAGAACAACCTCGCATCTTGGGCGCTGTTACTTGGTATGTCTTACCCTGCAGTTAATAATGCAGTAAAACATTGTTTCTGGCAGACATCTTATTAAAAGAAATGCCTACTTTTAAAAAACCTTCACATTTCCTATCTCCCCCTTTTTGTTAAGGGAAGCCTGATAGCCGCATGTATCAATTCAGACTCAGGCACCTGACAGCCTCTATGTCTCTCTGCATTGTCTGCTCACGGTAGCTTTTGCCTTGTCGGATCCCACTACACATGCTGCAGGGCCCCCAAATGTTACGGTGGTTTTAAATGCTCAGCTTTGGATTGAGAAGGCTGGCACAGGTGAATGAGCAGCGTGTGTAGCGTGGCAGCCAACAAGGCTGGGATGTGCTGCAGTATTTTGGGAGGGAACAGCCAGACAGTGGGTGGTGGAATCTCTTTTTTCCTGTAGAGCTGCTTGAGATTTCAGATATTGTGATTTGTAAAGGTGTTTAGATGGCAAGCTGATCATGAAAAAACAATTATAGATGATGCATCTTTTTTTCCACTTAGGGATGAAAAGCTACCTAACCCCAAGTGCCTCTGTTTTATCAGTCTTGTTGCTCACATTTCACGTGTGCTCTATTGAGCTGCCTATAGCAACATGTAGTGCTTCTAAGCCGTTGTGAATTCGGGGATTTCAAAGGCCTTACTGGCTTTAACGAAGGAGAGGGGCATTGTATGGTATTTCCATAAAGTTGAACTCTATGCAGAAAAAGCAGGGGACAACTTGTCCCATTGCTTTCATTTTATATTTTGACAAACTGAGGTTTAGACAAGGCAAGGCAAGCATTTTGAATTCATTTACCAAGAAGCAATAAGGAACTAACCTAGAAAATATCCAGGAAATTACTCAGGGAATTCTCTAAGTGCAATAAGACAATAAAGTTCAAACCTGAGTCTTCATCCTATGAGCTGTCTGCAGGGCCCTCCACCTCTGGGGGCTTTGCACAGAGCTGGATTTGTCACTTTGTGCTTTTCAGAAAGAACAGTTTTTAAAATATTCCATCTGGTGAGTTTAAGCAGAGGAAAGGTAATTGTTCGTGTCCTGTGTGCTGTGCGTTGGACGGGCTCTGGGTCGCAGTCTCTGGCGGTGCATGACGTTACATGCCGAGCGGGTAAGGGCGGGTGCGGCTGCTGCCGGGGGTGCCTGGGCTTGCTGAGAGGATTGCTGCCATTCCTACCCACTTCTATCTCGGTCGTCCTTCGGAAACAACACGAGCGATTAGCAAGGGTTCTGTTATGTCATTCATTGCGGAGGAAAACTCATTCGTAAAGTTTGTGGTCCCATTCTCTCTGAGGCCACCCAAGGAACTGGGCCAGTTGGGGGGGGAGATGAGCAGCTGAGCCGAGAACACTCAAGAGACACCATCACCTGTCCTATGGTCGTGGCATGAAGCTTCAACCCAATCCTCCTCTGGAGGGTCCTGGGACTGATCTATCTGCAAAAGCACAGACCCTGTAGCAGCCTGCTGTTCCCTGGGCTGCCTGTGCACAGGCTGCGCAGGGTTGGCATGGCAACACCAGCTTCCAGAGGGTGTAGGAGCATCCCTGAATCACAGGTCTACCTGCCCACCCCGTCGCACCTCCTGAGTGCTGCAGGGGAGTGTCATGGGAGCCAGTGAAGGGCCTTCCCTCCCCAAAAATAAATACCAAGCAAAGGGAATACTTATCTGCCAGGGCCTGCTATTGAAAAACGGATCTCAGTTCATATAAGCAGGAAAAAGACATTGAGGCTTATTTGTATTTCTGCCCCTGAGCACAAAGGGGCTAGAAAGCAGGCGGCTCCCACCAATTGTGTGTTCCTCCTGTTTGGAGATGTAATCGGCGTCCACATACTGTGCCACAGCCTTTCCTCATCTCTCGGGGTTGGGTTGGGGCTGGGAATGATGCACAGGGGTAGAAGACCTCCAGGGTAGGGGTGGGGAAGGGCTGGCTCCTGACTCTGCATCTCTCCCCGATCTTCTGATGCGTAACACACACCGCTAGGAGCAATGTTCCTGGGGAAGGAGGAAAACACAGGGTCACCCTGTTCGCTCAATCCCAATTTACCAACTGGAGAAACAGGCTCTGTGTAAACAGTACAAATGAAACGGATGTTTCACGCTGCTACTGATAAGTTTATCAGCAAAGCCAACATTCACTCTGGACCCCTAGAAAAATACACAAAAAATGTGTTAAAGAAAGAGAAGCAGAGGGTCCTCAGCTAACCCCCAGCTTACCACACCCTGGGTATCGGTGTTCGTGCTTTGGGACGTGTCAACCATTGCTCTAGCCAATGTGACTCCAAGGTTGGGACATTGTGTTCTGTAACCACAAGGCCCAATCTTACCCAGGCTCTAGCTGTGTAAATGCTATCAAGATGGATGAAAAAGGACTGTTGTAAAGGTGCTAGGGAAGATGAGGGCAGGGCAGGGGCAGTCAAGGAGCATGGCTGCTACCGGGGAGCACTGTGGCAAGGCCCTGCTGACCTTGCATGGGAGGTGAGGCTGTGGCCTCTCTAGCTGGTATTGTCCACAAATAGACCATCGTCCTTTGCAAGGAAGCAAAGAGAAAACTCTCTTCTGCTTCCTTGACTGTGGCACTGAGCCAGTATTGCCTCACCGAGGGCTCAGCCTCCAGCTCAGAGGTCTCACAGCTCCAAAATGCCTCTCCCACGTTGCTTTAAGTGCCTGTTCCAGCATCCTGTTACATGTGGACCATCCCCACTGACTGGATTTTGTTCCCTGCAAGTGAGTGGCTGGGAAGGAGGTGTGTTTCATGAAGCTTGTAATAGAAAGCTTGCTTTGACCTCCACGACAGAGAGATTAACACCATTCCAGAATGATGTAGTGTGTGTTTTTTAAGGGTCCAGAGGCAATTCCTGTTTACAGAGCAGGACTGGAAGAGCCTCGTAGCATTCAGGCTAGGGTAGTGGCTGCCAGGGATTCCTTCTCCATAGCTTCTTTTTCAGGTGCACTTTTGCCCTGCTGAGGGAGAAGTTGAAACGCCCTGTGGATGGCTGAGCTGGGCTGCTGCAGTTGTGCAAAATCAGATGAGGGAATGAGGAAATTCTTGCACCTGTCCCTATCCCCTCTCATCAAAGGAAACCACATTAGAGCTTCTTTGGGGCGATTCCACAGAAAGTTTGCCAATCCTTATGAAAAATTTGTCATTGACAGTAAAGATCCATTTGAAATAGCCCCAGACTTCCTTGAGTTATTCTGCTCTGCAGATGTAGTCTTAAATGTTTTTATCAATAGCGGTCCAGCCTGCTAATCCCAATTATATGCTCATGCCCAGCACCACTGCCTTTATCAGTTTACGGGAACTGAGAGCTGGTGGTTCTGCTCCCACCATGCCCACTTCTCCAAGAAGTATGAAAGGCTAAAAGTACTCTGAACAAGCAACGTATCCACCTGCTAGTAGTAGGAGGCCTTGCATTTTTCATCATCTTTCTGGAAACCAGAACGTACAGGATCTCCTTTCTGGGTAAATGTATTCTCATGTCCATGAGGAGCTTGATGCAAGTCAACCATTTGAGCCTTGGTGAGCCAGTGGGGAGTTAGAAGTGGCACGAGCCTTGAGTCCGCTGTCTAATGTCCCTGGCACAGTCCCAGAGAGAAAATCAAAAGGCCATACACCCAATGGAGTAAATCCATCGTTTCACTGGTGGTTGGATTTGCCCAATTTTTCCATATTGTTACTTGCCTCCTTAAATTGCAAAACGTTTCTCTGAGTTTTATTTGTCATTTCTTGACTGATACTGTGCTCAAAACATTCATGTTTCCCCAAAGCACACTACATGCCTTTAGTCAAAAAAGAGCTATGTGCTGGCCCACTGCCAGGGCCCAGAATTTAAGGTGCTTTTTGGAAAAGAGGCCTTTAATAAGCTTTTGTATTCTCTTATATGACTGTAGTCTGAGACTCAATGCCCCACAGGTGGGACTTATGTAGTTTGTTATTAACTGTTTCCTTATATAAGGATAGTCCTGTTCATACATTGGCAGGGAACCACTAAGACTAGAGTCAGAGATTTTGGATGTTTTTGAAGACTTAAATTTAGATTTCTAGGTGCCAGCAGCGCTGAAATGAGAAGATATATGAGCATGGAAATCTAGCATCTAGGATATTAACAGTACAGAGCTCTTGCTGAAGCAAAGTGTGAAGCACACTTAGCATATGCAAAGCTCTATTATTTACTCCAGAAAGATCACGCTGTGAGTTGATAACGCATCTTCCTTCCCCTCTCTACTTCTCGTTTTCTCTCTGTATCAAGGCCTTCCGATCTCAGAAATTATTTACATTTCCCCTGCAAACCATGACTGTCCTTTTCTCTCTCTCCTGCTCCCTCTTTGCACAATGCTTTTGGTGCATTTCGTCCTGTTGAACCCTCTCCCACCAATGCACACAGTCAGTGACAGTGCAAACCGCTGCTGCCTTTATTGGCACGAGCCATAACCCGATACAGCTGTTGTCTGCTGACCTGGGATTTTCCAAGGGCTCCTGCGGCAGAGCAGGTTGCAGACCGATTGAGACACGTTTGGTGGTTCAGCCAGGTTTGCCACAAGGGGGGGTGAAGAACAGAAACAGTCTGTGGAAATTTACTGACTCTCTGAAGATCTCATGACTTCTTGCTAAATCTGAAAATTCCCAGTACAAGAATAATTGTTTCTAAACTGGCTGTGTGGCCTTTCATCATTTACCTGAATATTGCATGGTCAGTCGCATTTTTTTGTCAGTGGTAGACAACAGTCCATCGTTTGCTGAAGGGATGGAAGATAAGGGATTCATTAGTCAAGACGCTAGTTCCTAGTACAAAGAACTTCCACACAGATGGTGAATTTAAAAAATATATATATTCAACAAATCAACACATAGTGTGCCAACTCTTGTGAAATATGTGCACGTTAGGAGTCTGAGTGGGAGCAAATAAGGTTGTAAGGAATCTTTCTGTGTACCTTTTCTGTGTACCTTCTGTTTTCAAACAGTGATTTGCAAAGAAGTCTTTTTCTTGTCTTTTTTTTTTTTTTTAAAGGTAAATATGTACGAAGCTCTTTAAATCATCTGAAGTGGGTCATGGTTGTGACTAAGAGATAAGAAGGGATTTGTCTGTCTGACAAACTTCCCCATTGTTTTTAGAGAAGGTTGGTATTTTCCGAAGTGGTAAAATACCACTGAGTGCAAAATGCAGGGCGTAGTGTAAACTGGAGTTCTGCCAGTTCATGGGCTGAGCAAAAACTGTTGAAATGCAAGATGCTTTCAAGGCCCAGCTCTGCGTCCTGCACAAGAAAAGCCACCAGTGATGTCCCTGGATCTCCAGCTCTCAGTCTCCAGGCCACAAAAGGTCAACGTAATGCCTGCTACAAAGTCAATAGGAATTTTGCCATTAGGACAATTCATGTTCTTAGTCATCTTTATATGGGACCATATCACCTACCCATCAGAATTAATGGGGTTTATATAAAAATTTGAGGGAGGGAGAGAGGAAGAAGCCAGGAGAAAACAGAGAAAAATGCTCTGAGTTTGTGTTGTGCCTCCAGGCAAGGCACAAAGTGAATCTGAAATAACGTAATTTCTAAACAAGCTATAGCTAGAAGTAGAAACCGCAATGGTGATGAGACCACCAGTGCAGTCAACTCAAGCACCAGTAAAGGCAATCCAGCAGAACCTGCAAAGCTCACTCGGTGCATGGTGCAAGGCCCAGTGCCAGTAATGCTGTGCAGGCTGCTTTTGCTTTAATGTTTGTGAAGACAAGGGGCTGGCTCACGCGCAGCTGTACTGAAGTCATGCAGATGGAAATCTGCCTATTTGGGATTGCTTTTGGGGCTGGGGATGAAGGGACAAAGTAAGACGCTGCATATGTTCCATATGGTGTTCCCTATAGTGGGGTCTATTTTCTAAGCCTTTGCTGGGGCACTGCTGTGTTGGAATACTAATTCAAGCACTAACAAAATTGTAGCAATTTAGGGCAGGAATAGGATATTTGCAGGTGGATAATTAGCTGACTGGGTAATGATGATGTTATACACAGCCAAAAACTTGGTTTGGTACAGTATTTAGGGCAAGATGCAACGTATTGAAAATTCTCTGAATCTGTCCAGGAAAGGGTAAAGAAGATGATCCCAAAGACCCCAAGAAAAACACTTAAGATCAGAAAGCAAAACCTACAGGAAAAAAAGGAGACACATTAAAGGCAGCAAGATTGCAGCCCTGTACGTCATATAAAATGAATGCTGTTCATCGTCCTGAATTGTTCATGCTCAGACCATATATGTTCGGTTCTTGACAAAGTAATCTCTTTACAAAGCTACATAATGCAGCAGAGTCAGCTAAGAACGAGTTATAAACAAAGAAGCTATTCAGCTGTCAAAGCAATTTTCAGCTATATTAAAACAGAATGGGATGGGATGGATTCTGTCCCGGGAAGCCGGTGGTGATACATGTGTGTAAATCGCGTGGCGAGAGGGAGTGCGTGCATGCACGGGTGGCCGCCCACGCAAACACATGCGCACACACGTGCACGGGATGATTGCCTGTTGCCGTCCCCAGCTCGCGTTAGAAATTGCAAAATGCTTGTTTAAATTGCATTTTCTGTCTGCGCTTGGGGATGTCACCAAGTTCTGTCCATTCTGATGACGTGTTTTGTTTCCATAGAAACCAATGTACTTTGGAGAGGGAAAAGCAGAAGGAGACTGAGAAAAGCAGAAAAATCAAGCAGAATAGGAGAAGTGTGCAGTGTGAATAGATCGTTTGGGTTGTGCCTTCAGGCTGCAAGATGCTGTATTTATTTGTGGGGTTGTCACTCCAGAATAATTCAAATCCATTCAAATGTATGTCAATTAAATGAATGCAGCATCCTATTTCTTCATATGTACTCTCCGCCATCAGACAGACTCCGTCTGCATGAGAGAGGCCAGGCTCCCCGTGTGCTTTCTGCTGACACAGGACTTTCGCCATTTGCTGTGTCTCTGGTGTCATTAGCAGGTGTTTCCTATCTTCATCCCCAAACTGGGGAAGGAGGCAGGGCCTGGGAAACTACAGATTTCAACTAAGGTTCAATGAAATACCTGTCAAGGCTCCCATAAAAAGCTGTGTATGATCTGTACCTCCCAAGGGGTAGGCGGGGCGGGGAGAGGAGCTATTCTATGATTTTTTTCCTTCTTAAAACAGCCAACTTGCCATTGAATCATTTAATCACTAATTAAAAATCCTGGATAAAACAAGCTGCCTACAGCTTTCTGGCAAACATCCCACTGACTTCAGTAGGGCCAAGATTTTACCCTTTCCTTGACTGCAGAGCTTGTTTGTTGTCCCTTCTTTTTCTTTAGCTGTGTGCTTTATGCCAGATTTTTCCTCTTAAGTGTGTGTTTTCTTTTACTTTTCTGAAATGTTATCTCACTTCAGCTCCAGAATATAGATCTTAAGATGATAGACCCCAAGAGGTAGTCCATGACCAGGCTAGCTGTGTTTCATCCGTGTCCTTTGCTGCTGTGGCCTAGGAGAGGACAAGGAGTAATGTGAGGGCAGTTAGGAATTTCAGCAGCTGAAGGTCTCCTGGAGCACGTTTGTGCAGGCATCTCGACTTGCAAGTCCCTGTTGCCAGAGCTACATGGTGCTTACGGGGTCCCTCAGCTGGTACCTGACCAGCTGGAAAAGGGGTGGACCACTGTAGCCTAGAGCATCAGCTGTTCCACTGCCCAGGGCTGAATGCCAGGAGGAGAAACAGAATCCTATTTGTGTGTATTCTATATGCATGAATGCCTTTGGTGACAGAGTGAAATCCCCGTTGTCTGTTCATATTCTTTGGTACGTGTTTCTCCTGTCTTCCCTTTTTCTATTTAACAGTCATATACTCTGTAATTTTGCTTTCAGAGTCTGCCTTAGAAGAGACCTATGCCATTTTGCCTGGAGCTGAGTAAGATGCACCCCCGCTGGCTGCTTGCTTGAAGGTAGGGATGTGCCAGCGAACCCTGCTTCCCGGGGGCTTTTTGGCAGAGCGCGCTTGACTTTCTGCCGTGTCCTTCATGAGAAGCTGCTCTTGGTCACAGACGGCCCACGTATGAGGAACCTGAGCCAATAAAAATTGCCAGGACCTACTGCATTCTTCAAAGCTTAGGGCACCGGGGTACGTGTCGACAGCAAACACCCTAATCCCTTACCAACGTGTTGGATGGCAAAACCCATGGCAGTTGCTTGTAGTGTTGATGCGGTTTGAGCCCATACTGTTTAATTTATCTTTGTGCACCCAGATCTGTGATATCTAACACTACTGATAGTTAGTCCCGTTTGCTGGTTTGTCGACAAATTCTAAGAATAAAAAGAAACTATGTGAAGGGAGATATGATTTTGCTGGTCAGCTCTAATCTTGGCTGTTTTCCTCAGTTTTAAATGTTGCATTTTACAAGTTATATGTTAAATGCTCTGCTTCACTTCTTTGCATCCAGACAGAAAGGAGAGGTTTGTAAAAAATGTGCTTTGTGTGTAATGTAGAATTTTTCTCCTCTGGGGAATCCATCATTGAGGATGTTTACTATATATTTATGAGATCCCTTGCAGATCTGTAGGCCAGGCTCTCAGATGTTCATCTTCTTGGACTTTTCATTGCTAAAATTTATTATTCTTTTAATGGTGGGCTCGCAGAAAAATGTGGGGGGCTGAGTTTGAATTCCAGGCAAATCTTATATCGCTGCTGGTTTGCAACTGGGCTCCTTACAGGATTCGGCAAGATTTCATTCAGCATTTTCTATAGTGCTGGTTCCATTTCTCTGGGGGTGCAGGGAAGATTACTTTTGGCTTTAATGTTCTGTATTAGTTAGTCTGCGATTTGCTTGTTCCAGAGGCTGGACATTATCTTTGATAATGTGTCATTCTGTAAGACAATGAGTGCCAGAGGGAGCGACAGGGTATCTCTCACATGTGCTACCGCTGATTCATTGCATGTACTTCTGCGAGGTGATGAAACACTTCGGTCACGTCAAAACTGTGCTGGTTTCTAGATAGCAGCTAATATCTAAATACTAGATATTACGTGACAAGTTTGAAGGCCAGAAGGTGATGTTCACGGGTGATGTCTGGGCTCACAAAGTAATCTTCTGGAAGCCAACGTAACTTTCTGTGTGAGTGAGGAGAAGTTGTGCGACTGTAAGCTCAGGAATGGGCTGTTACTCAAGTGCAAGGATGAATGAGAAAGATTAAAAAAAAAAAAAAATTTAATTAAAATAATTTAAAACTCTGTGCAACCCAAGTGTACTGTTTATCATCTTGTTGTACCAAAACAAAATTTGTGATATACTTTGACTTGGGATTTTCCAGAGTCATCGATGTGCTGGTTTTCATCATCTCTTGTCTTGCTGTTTCCTGACTTCCCTTCCCAGGCTTTGGAATTTTTATCCAAATTTTCCTCTTTTGCTTTTAATGCAATATCAGAATTAGCTTTTTGACCTCAGAGACTTCTCCCAAAGTAACAGATTTAAAATTGCTAGGTAAGAGTCAGCAGGAGATGATGATACTTGGTCTAATTTCCTTAGAAATGTTATAGCTCAAGTATTTATAATAATAAGGCTCTGTTACTGGAACCTCTCAATTCCAAGACTCTGAAAGTGGTAACTGAACCAGCAAGTTCTGGGAATATTTCCTAGATGGAAACTCGGGGGGAAGAAGAAGGGCATGGGAACACCAGCAATGTAATTGTATAAATGAGCATGTAATTTTCCGCAAAAAATTTCCTTGTCAAGTTCAGTATTTTTTCTTTTGACAAATTGCTTGTGTAGAAAATGAAGCTTTTCAGCCTCTGCGCTGTTCCAAATTTTAAGGTTTTGGTTTTCTTCATGTCCCTGTTATTGGACATGTATGTCTTGATGTGGTTTTTGACATCACTTAGTGGTGATGAGTCCGTGTTCACAGGCCGTGATTGGTCATTAAGTCATGCTTAATGGCTTAGGCCTTATAAACTACATTTGACTCAGGGAAGTATCATTTGGTTGTTGGAAGGAGAGTCTGCTGCATCGCTCAAAGTCAGTGAAAGTTACTTCTAATCAGAAAGTTTTGTCATGGTAGGATTCAACAAGACTCAAACAGTGCATGATACTTCTGCTCGTTTGCTTTCTAAGGCTGACTCTTGCACACAGCTATTTTTTTGAGAATGACAGCCATGAGCAAATTTTCAGTCACATGGCTGTTTTCAAAAGTAACTAAAATTGGATGCAAGGGAAGATCCATCTGATAATGATCCAACATATTCACAAATATTTTCTCATTATTTCTTTACCACTTGTCAGCTACCCCTTCTTTTCATCTATTCCCTTCTATTTCTTCTTGGTTTTGTGTTTTGATGTTGTTTTGATGATGCCTATTTTGTTCCCAGAACTAATATCTGAATTTATAGTAGATGGTTTTGAATATTGATGCATCTATGTATACAGATATATATAGATATATAAAGTGGTTGCTTTTTATGGGGGTTGATTTCTTTTACTAAGCAAGAGAGCAGACTTGGATACAGAAGTTGCAGGCATGTTTGTGATCAGTCAATCTGTGCAGTTGTACCAAATGACCCTATAATATAATTCATGCCATGAGGCTTGGCCTGAGTTCTCACTGGATGGTAGTTGCCTTACATTATGATGGTGAGATGTTTCCCTTCTCCTAAGAGAATTTGGGATATATTCATTGATTGAGTTGGATAAATAGTTCTGGTTTTCCACAAGATCTTTATCACTGGGTAGCTCCTTCTTCAAAAACCTGGTGCCATCTCTCAAGGCATTACTTCTGTAGTATCTGGCGCTCAGATTAAAAGCAGGTTACAGTGCGGCTGGTTTTGTATGAACGTTTGTAAACCAGCTGTTGAGAGAAGGTTCCCTGAATGTGCAAAACCCATGAATTACATGTTGTGTTTCATCAGGAGGTGTTTTGTTAAAGAATTGCCAGAGACAATTAATCTTGATTATAACGTAATCCTGGTACAAAATGCATCGTTTCTTCTTGGCAAATGAAGTGTTTGGCATCAGCAAGTGTTTACATTTACGTTGTTTTTAAACTTCTGTGTGTGCTGGGAGGTAGGGTGAAATATTTCCTAGATGGCCAAGGCTATTCCTAAGAAAAGATATATCATGGAGCAGAAATTCCGAAACATTCTGTTTCAAAGGAAGCTACGTGATCAATGCAATTACACCAGGGTTTTACGGGATGTCCAGAGCACATCTTTCATTGTCTTTGCATAGGTTGCACCTCAATTTTGTTTATGTTTTATTTCAGAGCTTTCCAATTTTCTGTTGTATCAGCAGTTGCATGAGCTACCTTTCCTTGTGCCCCTGCTTTGACATATTCCTATCCTGCCATGTTCTTAAGAGATTTTTTTTCTCTATGCGCTAGAAAAAGTGACAGAAGTTACTGTTGGGTAACTCATTACACTCTGATGCTCTCTATCTTAGCTCAAATCACTAAGTAAATATAAATAATGTTTATATGTCATACCTCTTCGTAACTGTATATGCTTGTTACCTCCACTTTTCCTGTGTTCCTGGTGCTTGAGTGAGGAGAAACCACAAAACACCAAGGGAATGTTGGCGTATGTGAAAAAAACTTGCATGGACCTTGATTCCAGGAAGAACATACACACATGCTGATAAACAGCTCCTTATCTAAGAAATACTTAAGAGAGTGTTTCTTAAATGAGAGTGCTTTTCTGAAACTGAGCATTTGGTTGCTGGGTTGTTTTGGGTTTTTTTTTTTTAAATATTTCAACACCCTGCTGATAATGTTGTGAAATCCTTGCTGGGCCTTAGCCAATTAACTGAATAAACTTCTACTTGTTTAATGATTTTAAACTCTCCTATGTGAGATAAACTTGCCATTTGTTCATTTAACTTCTCTCCTGCATTTGGTGTACAAATGCTATCTAATCTCACGGAGACTCCAAGTCTTTGAGACTTAAGTTCTTGCAAATTTATCAAACACAGCAATCAGAACACGTCTGGGCACTTAACAAAGTTCTCGTAGTGTTTTTCACTGATACTTTTAGTATTATTAAAGATAATTACCATTGTATTATTAAATACATGGAGCTGCCATATTCTGTGATGTAATTTTCCACTTTTGCATTTACCTTTATTAGCACACATTCCATTTAAAGTTGTCTTTCATTGCTCAGAGTGCGACATAGTCCAGAGAACTAGGATTGTCCAAATCTGCATCCCATAAACTGTCTGCAAAATAGTCCTTCTTTCTAATGGCCAGCCAGCTCCTAAAATCCAACTGAAAGGTTAAGATCAGAAATATGATAACGTCACTGAAGACATCAAGTTACTGACAGGATTCCTTTAATTACAAAGGGTTGAATAGGAACAAAAATTATTCCCTGCACACTGCAGGCTTTCTTGCTCTGTGATCATTGGCATTATATTTCATGTTTTCAAGCATTCGAGTAATGGATACAAAATTGGAAGCAGGAGGAAAGGTATAGAAATCATACCTGGAGGCAGTGAGAGAACGGGAGAACTCTCATTCAGTACCAGTGAAATAAATTTCTGTCCACAGGGCACAGGCATTGAGAGGAAAATAATTTATATGAAACCAAGGGCTGTAACAGCCTAATTTTGTTCTCTGGACCCAGGTAAATTTCATCCTAACACAATAAATAAATATATAATATAAAGTGCAATGCTATTTCCTGATTCATGGTCTTGTTAGACTCCAAATAAACATATATCATGCTGGAATTGTAATAACATAGGCTTAGTACATACAGAGGGAATTGCATCCAGCTACTAGATATGAGGAAAACATACCGAAAGGGAATGATTTAGAGGAGAATGAAGTTCTCCTTTAGACTCAGTGATGGTTCTGCTGTGTTTTCCCCTGGAAAATGGTCCTTCTCTTGTATGGACATTTTTACATATCTTCTTTCTTGAGCCAAAAAAAAAAAAAAAAAAAAAAGGAAAAAATCCCCCTGGTATAAACACAATTTTCT